TATCTAATAAGTGTTGGTGTTTTTGTTTTAAAAAATATTTTTAGGACACCCACCCCCCGGTGGTGCAAAGGGTTAAAAGCACAGCACTCTGAAGTTACGCAGCCACTACAACACAAGTTTGATCCCTAGCCAGGGAGGTGACCCATATGGTGTGGCAGACATATCCTGACCCACCTGCTGCTCCCCTCAGCAGTATATTTCAGTGCATCTGCCTGTTCTGCTCCCTACTCTGTTCTACTCCCTACTCTGCCCCCTGTGGCCTGTACCCCAGTTCTGTATACATAAATAAATTTTAAAAAATAATAATTTTCTAGGCCCTCCCTGGTGGCGCAGCCGGTTGAAGCGCTGCACTAAGAAGCTTCAGCCACTTCTATATGAGTTCGATCCCCGCCTGCCCTGGAGGAGATCCACATGGCGTGGCAGACCTCTCCTGACCCGCCCGCTGCTCCCCTCAGCAGTGTACTTTGTCGATCCGCCTGTTCTGCTCCCCACTCTGTCCCTGGTGAATCCTCTCACCCTCCGCATCTCTGGCCTGTACCCCTGTATGAATAAATAAATCTTAATAATAATAATAATTTTCTAAGTATTGTTTGGGATGCCTACCACAAATTGATTTTTTTTTTAATTGAACTGAGTGTTTCATTTCATTTTGACTTTTTTTTTAGGTTTTTTTTTTTTTTTTTAAGATTTATTTATTTGTGCATACACAACTAGGGTACAGGCCAGAGGCTCAGGGGCGGTGAGAGGCTTTACCAGAGATAGAGTGGGGAACAGAACAGGCAGATCTATGAAGTACACTGCTGAGGGGAGCAGCTGGCGGGTAGGAGAGGTCTGCCACACCATGTGGTCACCTCCGGGGCAGGCGGGAATCAAACTCATGCTGAAGTGGCTTTAGCTTCTAAGTGCAGCGTTTTAACCCGCTGCGCCACCAGGGAGGGCCCACTTTAGACTTTTTTAATCTACATTTTATTTAGACTTATATTTACTTTCTAAATATTGTGGTATTTTTAGAGATTTGTTTATTTCTAATTCCATCATGATCAGATAATTCGTACAATTTGATTTAAATTTATTGAGGTTTAGTGGTGGCCCAGATAATTGGTCTATCTTGATAATCAATATTCCATGTGCACTTTCAAAAGATTGTCCACTTTTCTATAAATACTTGTTAGACCGAATTGGTTGATTATGTTGTCTAAATTTTCTATTTTTTCAGATTCAGAAAGCTTTCAGTTATTTTCTATACTGATTTTTTTTTTGCCTGACACCCCTCCCCAGCCCCCTCTTTAATTGTTTGTGTGACTCCTTTGTGTTGTGGTTTCTTTGTTTCATTTTGGTAATTTCTGTTGTTAAGTGTTTAAATTGAAATGTCTAACCTATTAATCCTAATCAATATATTTTCATCTCAGACTTCTATTCATGAGATCATTTTGGGTTTATATAAACACACACACACAAATATAAAATACACACACACACATATATATATACACATAAATTTTCCATTACCTTCTCAGAATGCCCAGCTTTCTCTGATCTTTTTGAATATATGAAATTATTTATAATGTATTTTATTGTCCTTGGTTCTCTAATTCTGTCATTTGGAGTATATTTCCGTTGATTGATACTTCTTTTCATTATGGGGTTGTGTTTTCTTATTTCTTTGCACACCCAGTAATATACATTAATATAACACACAAATACTCTTTAACCTTGTTCTTGGATACAACTAAGTTACCTGAAAACACTTTTGCTCCTTTACAGGATGATTTTTAAAAACTTAGTAGGCAGAATCAGCTCAGCCTTTCACTTAGGACTAATTTAACCTTAAAATGGACACAATAATCTTCCAAGTACTCTCCAAGATGCCCCAACTATGTCTAGTTCTGCTCTGGCTATTGGGAATGTCAGCTGTTCCCAGTTGAGTTCCAGTAATTGATCCACCTGGTGGTTTACTTGACCTCAGGTAGTTTGACAGCATTCACTGATCTTTCTCATTTGGACTTGTGGAGAGCCCTTTACCCATCAACAATTCTTTCCTCTTCAGTTCTTGCCTGACATTTTTTTCCCCCAATAGTTTAATTTTTCCATCATTTTATGTATTTTTCCATCACAGTTGTAATCCCCTTGGGCTTCCCATCACCAAATCACCCATGTGCCGTTATCAAAGTCCAGTGCATTTCCCTCCCTTCCCACCCCCCACTGTTTTTGATCACATTCCCCACCCCAGCCCCATAAAATGTCTCTGGTATATAACTGTTCATTATTATTATTTTCTCGCCATGTCCGTTATACTCTTGCTATGAGTGAAACCATCTGGTATTTTTCCTTTTTCTTTCTGGCTTATCTCACTAAGCATGATCTTTTCCAGCTCCATCCATGTTGCTGCAAAAGGCTTGAGTTTATTTTTATTTTTGGTTGCTGAGTAATATTCCATTGTATATATGTACCACATTTTTTAAATCTTGCCTGACTCTCTTAACCCATCTGATTGCTCAGTTCTTCCTCAGTTCAAGGAGACTGCAGTGCCATGTTTGTACCTGTGGTGTATCCTGTACACTCAGTAAGGACAGGAAGCTGGAGCAATTGTCAGGGTCACTTGTTTCTCATTTCTTAGGGACTTCTTTCTTGCATTCCTGTTTCCCACTGGAAACCATCCCTCCCTTACCTACCAATATTGTATCTTTTAGTTACTTGAGATGGGAAGGTTCAGTCCTTGTTGCTCCATCTTGTTCATAGGTGGAAATGGCTTGTTGAGCTTGGAGTACCTCACAAATGTTTGTAATCAAAAATCAGTAAGCACCCTTGTCCCTCTGCACTTAAAGAAGTCTGGAAACCCTGCCTTCCCTTTGAACAACCAATTTTCATTTTGGCACAACTGACTAGGACAGAATACCACTCTGATGATTTTTGTAAGGTTCCTGTATCTCAAAAGTAATTGCATATTCTGTAGAGCTAATTTTAATGGGGAGGGTGGGGGAAACAGGAATGGGCACACATAAGTACTTAGAAATACAGAAAACTCATTGATTTAGGAGCTAAAATTGCCTTGTCCTACTTTGTCAGGGAGAGAATTAACTCCCCAGTGTCACAGCAGGTCAGATAACTGAGCCAGGATTTGGTCCTAGTTAGAGTGTTTCTTGCAGTAAGTATTCTCAAAGATAGGCTTCCTCTGAAGTTTCTTGAGCATGGGCAAACATTGAAATAGGTGATTGGGGATGAAACAGGTGATTACGGAACATCTGAATTACACTCTACTTCTTGTATAAGGAAACAAAAACCATTTTGTTTCTATGGTGAGCTGCCCACTAAAACTTCTCTCTGGGGTGCTGATCTTTTAGGTGCATCCTGCTCTGCAGTGAAGCCAGGGAAGGGCCTTGCAGCAAAATAGTTTCAAAACTGTCAGCTTTGCTCAAAATGTAGATTTTGCCATGTAATTTCTTTAAGAAGTAGATATTCCCAAACTAAGAAAATACTTAATCTGAATCTTTCAGTGGTCATGATAATGTGAGTCTCAGGGAAAATGAGAAAACTAGATCCAAGCAGCTTCATATTGTTTCAGGATGTTTCTGCACAATCTGTGTACTTTTTATGAGAATGAGGAAACACAATCAGTACCCTGGAGCTGTGTGAAAAATGTACTAGGAACATCAGTGATTGAGAAGGGCAAACTAATTAGAGAAAAAGGGTGAAACAGTTATAAACACATAAAAAACCAAGTCTTTTAACACTAAAGAATATTTTAACACTAACTGCATTTTTTGGTTAAAATTGTTAGCTTTTTGTTGGAAGCCTGTGGTGGTTCTGGCTCTGGCTGAGGAAGGCTTCAGACTTGTTAGCAAATTGTTGTGAAATGCAAGTGGGCAGGATCTGCTTTCAGAACTTTTTCTGTCACCACCTCCTGTTCCTCATAATAATGTTTGTAATGGGGCTTACTTATTTATATTTATATACTTTAGTATCTTTTGAAATGTGCTTTGCAGTTAATGGACTCCTCCTCTTCACCAATTTCCCAGCAGACACATTAAGCATATGCCACACCTCTTTCCCAAGAGAGAAAATAGATAACTTCAGAATCAAGAAAGGCTAAGTGACTTGGCAGTGTCCTAAGTGTAAGGACCAAGGTGGATAAACAAGACTTTCTAGTCCAAATTCAGTGTCCTGCTAGAATGTGCTGTGTCCAGCCCTTAGACAGATGATGCTTTATGACTGTTTCTTGTGCTGATCACTCAGCTCACTATGTCGAACTGTTTGGTGGTAACTTTGTCATTGAACCCGAAGCATCTAGAGAATGGAACTGGCTCAGTCTGGCATCTGGAAAAGTTATTGAACTTTATACTTCTGCAAAAAATCAATTCAGTTGATGTAGAAAAGCACAAAAAAATATTAAATTGATCCTTATGACTAACTCTGGGAGGTTACCTAACTATAGAGTGTTTAATGGCTGAGCCTTTAACACAGAGTTAACTACAAATTAAAGAGTAATGATTTTTGATTTTTTCAGACAAAACAAAGTAAGTTGACACTTCTCTTCCACTCTTCTAACTCAAAGTAAATGAGAGCCATGCTGGTTTTGCTGAAGCCTACATGAGGAGGGTAAAGGACAGGCATAAGAAGTAGGTGGCTTGTTTGTATTCCCACAAAGATGGTTAGGGTAAGTGTGTGTGCTTTTCAGCTACATTTAGTTCTTAGTATCATATGGGGGGGGGGGAGGGTTATGGTAATGATGAAACAGCAGCTTGTAAGAGTCACCCTTTATTATCAACAGATTTCATATTTTATAGAAGGGCCCCTCCCCCCAGGCATGCACATCCATCACTGAATGTACTATATTGCACTCACTAGTTGCTTCTCCTTTTGAGACTGTGATACAGGTAATACTTTATGAACCAAGACCTGGCACATTGTGGTTATTTAAAAAACTAATGGGATTGAAATTTAATAGGAAAAAAGGTAACTACACCAGTATATTATAGTCTTTCTTTTAACTTTTCACAAAGGATTTGCTGTAAGTCTTCAAGTCATCTTGTCCAATCCAAAAGCTGTTTTTAAGCGCCGTGGATCCCAGCCAGGGATGCAAGAATCTGACTTTCTAAAACAGATAACAACAGTTGAAGAACTGGAACCAAAAGCAAATAACTGCACCAAGGTATTCATTTCACTTGTGCTGCTTGGCCTTGTTTTGTGACAGCAGTAAGTGTGGCTACCCAAAAGATCTCCCTCCCTTTTAGGTTCTTGTGTGGCACACACGAACAGAGAAGGTTAACCTAGCCAATGAGCCAAAGTACCACCTGGACACAGTGAAAATTGAGGTGTAAGTTAAAGCAGCAAATGGTTGGCCGACGGATGCGTGGAGGGTAGGCTGCCGAGCATTCAGGTATTGTTCATTTTACTTCAGTACAACAGCCTTTATTGTCATCTGATGGACACCTGTTTAACCAGAGCTTGTTGTTAAGATAAGCTAATAGGTTGGTATAAAAAGTTTTGTCTTCATTTGTTTTACACATTTACCCTACAACTAAACTGGAAGATCTCTGTACAGTATGGTTAAATGACATTTGAAGATACCATTTTGGGTATCTAAAATACTTTTTTTTTCCCCATTTGGCCTTATAGTTGCTAGAAATGAACAGGTTTTAGAAACAGATAACTGTTATTTTGTCATTACTTTTTGGAAAGTTGGTGGCATTATACATTGTAGGAAATAAAGCCCACAAAAAAATCTATGGATTCATCTGTTTAATATAGGGATTTAACATTTTGTCAATACTAGGCACCATAAAATGTAAACACAATCACTGTCATAAACCCGGATATACCTTTAAGAATTGAAAGTGGCTTTGTTTAGTTACCCTGTTTGCATATAGTGCAGAGAAAGGTCTTCATGTTAGCACTATGTACATAGTAAGATCCAAATTACATTGAGAGGCAGATAAAATTTGCATTCCTTAAACATTTTCTAAGTTTTATAGTAACATCCAGGTTTATCTTCCTTTCACTAGCCACGTTCCCTGTTAAGCACATCGTAACAACAGCACAATAAAGTGAATGATGAAAGAAAAAGTTTGATACACTAGAAAACAGTGCTCAGTGATACATTTACATTCTATTTTATATGATTAAAACATTTGATCATACAGTACCTTCCTAAAGGATTACTGGCTAATTTGGGGGAGGGGTTTTTACACTGTTAGAGGTATTACTAACATGATAACTACTTCCCTTATATATGCAAACATTAGAGCTATAATTTTATTCAGTAAAACTGATTATGCAAGTTGAGCAGCTTCTCAATGAAATCATGGGAAATATGCACAAGCAAAGCTGCCCTTGACATAAAATGGTTTCTCAACCTGCTTTTCACCACATCAAATTTAATCAGTACAGACCAACACGGTCAATCAGATAATTCTTAATATGAACAAATGGGGAAAAAGAAAAAAATATATGTACATGAATAAACGGGAACTAGATGCGTTTTAGCAAGGAATGTCAGGTGGTAGTTCTGGATGAAACTTGTATTACAGTTTTCATTTCCACAGTTGTGTGCTGAGAGTCTGACCCGATGCGCTTCCAGACCATCCTGCTGTGGTGTTGGGGGGCTGGCCAAATCCCACTGTAGGATTCGCACTACTGATACTCATGCCAGCCATTTGCTGATTCATCTGTAAAACACAAAAAGGCTTACTTCACTTTTAATTCTGTAACAGATCAGTCAGAGATATTAAGGTGTAACAGCATTACAATTATTTTTCATCAATGTGAAATTAAGTCCATAGCACTGGGGTAAAAGATACTCTACAGTTTAACTGCTCTGGTTTCCCGTTGTTATTATTCATTTTGTAGATTTCCTCCAAAATTGACTGCAACTGAAAAAAGTACTAAGGCAGGCTTTGATTCATATCTGGGTATCAGTCTACTCAGCACCACTAAGGTAATGTGTGTCCTTACTTATGGAAGGGTAAGGAAGTTTTAGAAGGCAAAGTATTTGAAAATTATGAATATTGTAGTATGGCTATTCTGCCTTTACTAAAGGTCACTAATCAGGCATAAGTGTGTGAAGGGGCATGCCTTCCTACACTTACTATAGGATGTTTCAACCACCTGTATATGATTGGCCAACAGGTTCCACTGAGGGCAGCATCACCCGTCAGCTTTTTTCCTGGAAGTAAGGGCTGATGCCAATTCTTTGATTAACAAATTCATGTAGCACCTTAACCTGAGCATGGTCAGCGCTTTGACTACACAAAAAGCTGTTGTATATACTCAAGTAGGTAAAACAGTTGGACAGAAGAAATGCCAGGTTAACATCCAATAGAAAGGAGGAGGCTCAGAAACATGAACCTAATGCCAAAGGCATTAGAGGAGCCTGAGAAAAATTAGAATGGATCAACCTGTCTTGAAAGCAGTAATACAGGGTAGACTAGGATTTATAATACGCAGACTTGTTCAACTTTTAGGGGGACTTCTAACTACTAGGTATTCTTTTTAAACAAACCCTTTCAAAGGTTTTTCCTAACCTGTGTAAAAAGATTTTTACATCATAATAGGAGCTCATTAAGAATGTGAAACAGGGTTTTTTTCCTTTAATTGCTGAAGTTACTAAAAGCCCCAAAATTATTGGGTCAAAAAAGACAGGTCCGTTTTAGTGAGCTAATTTCAAACAGGAGTCTCTCACTATTACAAAGAGTTTAGTGATGGTAGCTGTTATCTGGTTTCTTTGATTTTGGAGATGTGGAAAAGTAAATGACTTACCTGAGAGAGGCCCCACTGATGTTGCTGAGCTTGTGGCAGGCCAAACTTACTCTGGGATGCACCCATCTGTGCCACCATTCCTCCTTGAGGGCCAACAACATTTTGAGGAAGTGGCATCACACCAGTTTGTGCATTTCCCATATACCCATTGGGCATGGGCATGCCCACCATCATGTTTGCACTCTGTCCCATCACATTTCCTATAAGGCCAGGTGCTGCAGGCACAGGTACACCCATTGATGGAAATCCTTGAAATGCAGTTGGCGCTTGTGAGGTAAATGGCATATTTGTGGGTCCCATAAACACACCTGCATCATAAGAACCACAAAAAGAAAATAGGGGTATGATATACAGCTGCATTCACCTCAATAGTCACTAAAAAAGGATTAGCATATTTCTGACCTTTCACCAGACGCAAAAAATCTTAATTCCATCCTCCTACTGCTTAGACTTAAACCTATACCCTCAGAATGCAGTTAGGCAGTAGAGTACATATGCTGTTGCTGACTTGCATCATTAACCTCTACCGCCCAATGTGTGAGAGAAAGTTTAGCTTCATCTGATGTCTCACAATTTTAACTCATGATAAAATGCAGCTCATTTGCTTTGAGGAAATTATCTGACAGACTGAAATCTATGTAAACAAATACTATCATGCAATTTCATTATAATTATTTAAGAAGACCCATACTGTTTGGAAATATGTGTGATAATTCAGAATGTTGATTGTTTACTTGCAGAGAAAATGCCATACTGTAAACAGTGATAAATTTCATGAAAGTCAGATTTAAATTATCCTTCAAAAACATAATTCATGTCCTATAAGCTTGTGGAATATTAAGTGATATGTAAACAGCTTGTTAATTCTAAATAAAGTTTTGTGAATCCTGTACATGCTTTCTAATTGTAATGCTTCACATTTTTATAAACTATAACAACCATTTTATAGAAAAACAATGAACATAATGTAATTGATATGATAAGTCTCTGGTACCAGCAAATTTCAAAATGAATTACCAGGAGTACTCTGCTGCTGCTGCATGGTTCCTGTACCATACAGAGATAAGATGGAATCTTTGGAGAGTTGTTTCTTTGCCACCTCTTCTGACTTTGTAGTTGGCTCAGTGAATAGATCCAGATCCCCAGATGTTACTGTAGACAGAGTGGCAGCTGCTGGTACAGAGGCTGTCCCCTGAGACAAACAACAAAACAAGCTAAGCTGTTGGATACTGCATATTTAAACACAGCTCATTCATCACTTAAAATCCAAACGAAGTTCTGTAAAATGTGACATTAAGAGGCTTATTCACAAGTTTACACAAGAACTGGGACAAAGTTAATGTTTCCTGTTTTTAATCAATCTCATACTGTAAAACAGTATGATGCGCTCTTGTAATAACGGTTTATTTACTAGACTGATACTGAGTTTTTGCCCATCTCATCCTGGTCACAATTGGCTGAGGTATTTGGCTGATGTCTGAACTGCTCTGCCTTGGAATAAAGACCATTTCTCCAACTGCAGCAAGAAAATTTTGCAATGACTGATTCTTGTCTTCATTTTAAAAAAAGTTTTTCAAAAGCTACATTACCTTTTTATGAATCTACTTTGTGTCAGCTTTAACCACATTAGAATACTTCTAGACTACCCAGAAATTAAATATAGCAAAACTTCACCACTTATATTTATCTTTCATTTCACTTCTAGACATGAAACAAATGAACACATACAATAAACAACATAGATATTTAATATAAAACAAAAATTTTCACATAATAATCTTGCACATAGTATTATACACTCACAATTGATGATTTCATCTTAAAGATCTCATTAAGTATTCAACCACCTTTGTTTATATGGGGATTTGTTTGTTTCAAAGAATTCTATGGAGACTAGTAGAATTAAAAACAAGTTCAAATACTTAACATTGTGGATGGAAAAAACCCCTGTAATTACCATCTGTGCGCTGTACTCAAACCAATTTCAGCAGAGCAGTAATTTGAATGTGTTATGATGAACTAAAGCAAGAATTTAGAGATAAAATATCTGAACTGTGCAGTAAATGAGGGAATACCAAATATAATGCTGCACTTGAATAAAATATATCCAAATTACCAGTGAAGCAGATCAGAGAGACTAAGAGCATGGGCATTGGAGTCAGCCCCCCTCTGACTGTTGTGTGCTTCTGTCTCTATTCTGTGCAGGAGAGAAGAGAGAGAGGTACCTGATGACCAAAAGAAATGCTTTGCACAATAGCAGGGTTAAGCACACATTGTTTACAGTTAATGTTAGGTAACAAAGCAACTATCTGAGTGATCTTGCCATCATGTTCAGTGTCTATGCAATCTAAGAATCTGCTGAAAAACTTTGGGGTGGGGGTTGGGGGGAGGGGTAGAATGCATTCCCTGTAGAAGAAATACAACTACAAGATGAGATGGTTACCTAGGGAAAGCTATTACTCTGGTCTCATACTAGAGCAATCTATTCACATATATAATTTTTCTAATGAGGATAATATGGAACATGTCTCAAAATGAACAGTCTAAAACCAAGCACCATAAATGGCAATCACACAGTGTCTACCTACTTTTGGCTTTTCAGTTGCTGGTACCACAGTCCCAAGATAAAAGAACAACTCTTGTCTAGCATTTACATGACAGGAGTCTGAAGGCCCCTAACCCACGATCTCCAGCAGTCTTGGGTCATATGCTGAGCCAAGGACAGACCACAGTATGTGAGTCTTGTTACTGTTGGTGTGTGCATATACTAGGACAGTAAAAGGAGAGTTTTGATATGTCACCAGTGGTGGGGGACTCTAGACCTCATTCCATTTCTCAGTGGGGGTAAGGGGATATCCTCTAATATACATGTATACTCCTGTCAGTTAAGTATTTCTAACCTCTTATTAGAATTTATTTTTGTCTTTTATCATCAGAAAATCAAATCAGGAGTAAAGAATATAGAGTTCAGAGTAATCCCAACTGTTGTCAAATCAATTGCTATAATAATAAAAAAACCCTAAAATTAGTATATTATTTGTACCAGTATATACATAAAATGTGTACTTTAACCTGTCCCTTTCCCTTCCCCCCGTTTTTAAAGATGTTATTTTGAAAAATATTTCTGAATTTTCATCTTTAATGTAGTTTAGATGAAAGATAATTGTTTACCAAATATAAAAAAATTATTCCTATTATGAAGATGACATCTTTCTACTTGCCACTCTAACAATAAACGGAACAAGTAAAGTACACCGAAAGCCTCAGATGTAGGAACTAACACATCAAACCGTATTAGAATACATTCTCATATACCAGTGGACCCTACACAAGCCTAGCCTCTAGAATGCTAGAACAAAAGATACTACTTTTCATGGTCAAACTGTCAAGTGTCCTAATGCATCTTTTTAAAGCCAAAATATTAGCATTGGACAAACGTTCCATCACTTGCATAACCATGTGCATGCACAAATTCATACTATGATTGAAGCAACAGTACTGGAATAGTGGGAAAAGACAGGATAAAGCCATAAGGTAAAGCTCTCACTCCTGAAAATAGCGTTAATGCTGCAGAAAATCTTGATAATGATCCCTTTAAACTAACAATCTGTTGTCTCATTTCTGGTGTTAATTATACAGTAACTATCATGATATAAATAAATATGTATAATAACAGTATATGTAATTAATCTCAATTAGGCACAGGTTCTAATAAAGGCTTTCTAACCAAACAATTCCCATTTGGGTTAGTTTTTCTAGAGAAAAGGAAATGTTTAACTTCAAAAATTACACCACATTGAAACAAACCTTGACTGTTTTACATAGTATAAATTTTAAACAGAACCTTAAAACTGTAAGCTTAAGACTACAGGTTTGTAGTCCTGAAAGTTCAGCTACTTCACCTTAAAGAAAAACAAATACTGCATGGAATCATTTATATGCAAAATCTTTAACAAAAACATCAAACTCAGAAACAGTGGAATAGAGACTGTCAGGGGCTAGATAGTGTGGGAAATAATAGAGGCTGATAAACAGGCACAAACTTACAGTAAAGCTAAATTAGATATTGGGAATCTAATATAAAACATGGTGAATATAGTTGATTACATTGCTTTCTATCATGAAATCGTAAGAGTAGAACTTACGTGTTCTCATCAAAACAAAACAAAAAGGTGAATATGTGAGGGAGTGAAAAAACTTTTAAAGCATATATCAACTCACTATGTTGTCAATTTAAATGGATTACAATTTCTTAATTATACCTAAATAAAGCCGAAAAAAAATATTTTACAAAGGAGAAAAGCAATGTGTGTAATATTAAGGCAATTCACTTTTTTTACCATAATATTCTAAATAGTTTTATAAAAACCCATTAAAATACGTAAGATAGGTTTTACCTTCATAAAAACAGAACTAGACTTGCCAGAATTTGTCACTTTTGGTTTTCCTGCAGCATTTCCTAACACTCTATCTTAACGATGGTTCCTGGAGCATAAAGGAAAGAATTACTGGCTTCTCGTCAATATTTATATACTATATTTATATAGTATATAAATAGATAGATAGATAGATAGATAGATAGATAGATAGATAGATAGATAGATAGATAGATAGATAGATAGATAGATAGTGTGTGTGTGTGTGTGTGTGTGTGTATACACACACACTATATTTAAAAACCTTGGAAGTAAATGACCTTGGTCAGTCTCTGGCGAGGCTGAAAAAGTCTGAGTTTTCCCAGTTCTTTCTAAACACTGTAGGATTTAGAACATAGGGGTTTACCTGAAGTAAGGGTTAGCAAATTTTAGTGATTATTTTAATCTTTGTGTCTATTGAAAACTATTCAACTTGTTCTTGTAGTGTGAAAGCAGCCACAGACAATATGTAAGCAAATGTGAATGGCTCTGTCCCAGTAATACTATTTGCAAAAACAAGCTTCAAGCTTAGTTTGCCAATACTGGTCTATACCTGTACACAAATACTGACTGCTCAGCAACAATTCTTTCAAAATTGCAACTGAAAATTTTAAAAAATGAAATAAACAGTTACTACATACCTGAGCAGGAGGCATGACAGTTGAAGGTAAGGGATTAGAAATCATTGGTCCAAAGATGTCCAAATCATCATTCAAGGCTGGTACTGTGGCTGTACTGCCGTTAGTCACTGGTGCCTCAGCAGGACCATCTGAAAAGAATACAGGTTTTTGTCTTAGTCGTTGAGATTACCTGAAACATGGCATTATTTTAAAAACATGTGATTATGATGAATACTACTCAGCAATCAAAAAAGATAAAACTCCATGCAGCTTTCCATATTGGTTGGATTAGTTTGCATTCCCACCAGCAGCGGAGAGTTCCTTTATTACCACATCCTCCAAGCATTTGTTGTTGCTGTTGCTAGTTTTTTTAATATGTGCCATTTTACTGGTGTAAGGTTTATCTCATTGTGGTTTTGATTTGCATTTCCCTGATTATGAGGGATTCTGAGCATTTTTTCATATGCCTGTTGGCCTTACACATTTCCTCTTTGGAGAAGTGTCTTTTCTTTTAAGTTCTGCCCATTTTTTAATTGGATTGTTTACTTTGTTTCTGTTGAACAATGTGTGAGTTCTTTGTATAGCTTTGTGATCAGTCCCTTATCAGTTGTGTGTGGAAGAGCACAAGGGACTAGGAATTGGTGCAAGGGTGAACTAATGGTGGGAATTCTATGGGTACTACACCTGAGAAAAGTAAGCAAGCAGTGTACAAAAATAAACAATGATGTAAAACATATATAAATAAATTATATATATATAAAAGATATACATGCTATTCTCAGCAACAGCGCTGGAAAGGATTATGCTCAGTGAAGTAAGTCAGAAGGGAAAAAAATTGTGGATGATATCACTTATAAGAGGAATACAGGGAAACCAAATAAAGGGTCAAAAAAAAAAAAAAAGGCAAAACTTGTAGGCATCTTTATACTTGAGGATTATAGCAGGAGTGAGGGAAAGAAGGAGGGCAAAGTGGGTGGGATGAGCACCAAGGACCAATGGTGATGGTTCACAGGTGATGTGGTGGGATATTTATGGGGACTACACTTGAGGGGGGAAATCAAATACTATACAAAAGTGAACAACAATATAATGAAAAGAAAAACCAAACGTGTTTTAACAAAATATTCACAAAGTTCACTATATATATATATATGTGTGCTCCACTTCTACTACAGACGCTATCCTCTTTCCCAAATTACTTTTAATCCCTATAACCTATGAGAGGGACACTACTTTTGAAATAGCTGGGATTTGATGCCATGTTCTTAAAAATAATGCCTGCCAAAAAATTTGTGTGTAAGTTATGGCTATCCCTTCAGATCATGTTTACCTACATTGGAAATGAATTTTGACAATTTTTAAAGTGTCTGATATGTAGAATTTTCAAGTTACAGTAAGGATAAAATGTGGACAGAAAGCATACACACTATGAAAACTGATTCTATAGGAAATATTCATTAAACCAGAAAAGAAAATCCTTCATTTAAGCACGGCCCCCTGAGGTATCACAGCAGAAAGGAACACTGAAAGAGTGCCAATATCCTGCATCTGGTTCCTTCCAATTCAAAAAAAATTATATTTTAAATCTCCTTTCACTAGCACCTTATATTTACAAATATAAGGGATACGGGCGGCAGCTAGAATGGAACAATTCACATAATTCAGTTTTCTCTCTTCAGAAGCAAGTAACAGTTCACATCATGTGATACCAGTACCTTGTGATACCAATATCGTGGAACTTATCTCCTAATCAAACTTCTATCTGAATTTACTGTCTCATTTGACTGGCCTTTGATATGCCTTATTCCTCTAGGGTAGATAAGTAAATTATCTTTTAAAGTCTCTTCAACATTGGGATGTCTTGTACAGAGTAGGTACTGAAATATTTGACAATCTGATGGAAAGTTCTACCTTGTATGGGGACACAGAAACCCTCTCATCAGATATGTTTAATTATATCAGAATAACAAGGATGCTCGGTTCTCCCTGGTGGCACAACGGGTTAAGGCACCGCATTATGAAGCTCTCCAAAGCCACTGCAGCTCCAGTTCAATTCCTGGCCAGGGAGCTGACCCACATGACATGGCAGACCTTTCCTGACCGGTCCACTGCTCCCCTCAGCAGTGTACTTTGTCAATCTGCCTGTTCTGCTCCCCACTGTGTCTCTGGTGGATCCTTTCACCCACCATACCTCTAGCCTGTATATCAGCCTGTAAGCATAAGTAAATAAATCTTTAAAAAAAAATAATAAATAACAAGGATGCTCTTTAGTAGAAGAAAATAATGGCTGGCATTACAGATATGCAATTTAAATACACTGACAGAAGCACATGACCTCCAAAATATAGTACAATCAGGAGAAACAAACAAAACCCTTAGTAAGTTAAATATAAGTTAACTATTTATAACTTTTCAGTTCAAATATGTTTTCCAAATAATACCAAATATTAACAATTATGACAAATTTATGGGGGGGATGACCTTTAACATGAGAAAATACTTTTTTTTTTTTTTTTTGGTGAAATGAGAAAAACTACCAGTGAGCCAGACCAGGGTCTACTTGTATGAGAACCATAAGGCTTCTCTACTACAGGCAAAAGATGTGCTTTCAGTACTTTTATAAATATCTTTCAGAAAAATTTAAGTCTTTTATGTAGAAAGTATATCCCACTAAGAACATTAATGATATTTTCAAAACTAAATCCTATTCAGTAAGTAGTACATCATCTAGTAATCTGTAAAATAATAAGAACCACTTTATTTGGGTTTTTGAAATCTTATTTTACCTTTCACACACTCATGATTATTTATGATAATAAAAACTAGAGCCAACATTTAGTATACTGCTTGTTTTGCGTCAAGCCTGACAAAATACAAATACACACTTAAAGCGTATTTATTTGAGCTTTATAACAATAGCATGAGAGAATTACTATTGTCTCCATTTACACAAAGCAAAAAAAGCTTAATTTGTCCATGATCTCAGAGAAAAGTCTTAGGTGGTATTCCTACATTTTACTATAATATCAAAGCAGCATATTCTTGTAATAGGCAAAAATGAATGTCTCCTACCAGGAATAGTGGTGATGGTTGCACAACATGAATGTACCTAATGTAACTAAACTGTACATGGTAACCTCTTACAATGGTTTAAATTTTGCTATATGCATTTCACTACAATAAAAAAAAATGCTTTCTACCATGATTTTCTATGCTTATAAACATGCTTAGCACAGCATTTACACAGAAATAACTTTAAGTAAAATTGTATATTGTGTGTCTGGGGGTGCAACTGTAGTCCACGCCATGATAATTACATCAATCCATAAAAACATCAGTCTTTCACAAGTGGGCATATAGGTAAGTTTCCAGACTTTCACCAGAGTCTCATAGTCCACTTCTTTCACTGAAAGGCAACAACTCCTGTGTCTACCTCCATATGGTAAACAGCTCTATTTTCATTCCAATAAAAAAGTACCTTAAAACTGGTTTTGTGAACTCTGAAAAAGGCATTCTACACAAACAAAACTGGGATCCTTTTATAATCAACGTACCACAAATAATGGAGCTGTCATGAGAGTTAACTCACAATGTTAGTCCAATGGAGTCTGGAATCCTTTAGAATGAGAGGGGAAGCTTCTGCTTAAGCTTAGCAATTTTTATGGCAAAACTAACAGTATGTTCGGGTGATTGGGGAATAATTCTCTCAGCTCCAAAATGTAAATGTAAAGATTTTTCTTCCAAGCCTGCCGAAAGTTTCCCTCTATCTACGATCATGATAAACTCTCTGTTCTCACATCCTCTAACATACCTGTCCTCTTTCCTTTCTATCCCAATCGTCTTTCATATGATCTAATATCATAGATTTCACCCCATCAATTTCCCTTGTTACTACAAAGCTAAACTATTCATAGAATTGTTGAAAAGCAAATCCTTAAACTAAATGGAAACTTCTTAGACTTACAAAATCAGTAAATACAAGTTCCCACTAGTTTTTCCCCATGTATTTCAATGTTTGTGAATTTGACTGACTACAGTTGGCTTCTAAACACATTCTTTAAAAAAGACTCCCTTCACCAATGGGTAAAGATTCCATTACCATCATTATAAATATCACAGGTTTCCTAGAGATTTTATCATTTTTTTTCTCCATGAAATGATGGGAAAGGCATCTTCCCATAAACTCCAGTTACAGAAATGAGGGCAGAGGTTGAAAGGCTGACTTGCTCAATGTCACTTTCCTAGTTAAGTAGAAGAATCTGCTTCTGAATTTCTGACTAGTGAGTACTTTCTAAACTTTATTTTTCACAGTGTGTAATTATCACAACTGTACCTAATTATAAAGAAATGCTTAAAATTCTAAAAATTGGTTCAAAAATGATTTTTAAATAGTTTATAACCACTTGTACTAAGTTAAGACAAGCAATGGCAAACAGATTAAAAACTATTCAGTGACATTCCTATCTCCTCATCATCTTCCCATAACACTGTCCCCCTACCAAGCTCAGTGTCTTCTTAATTTATGGGGAGAGACACACTTAGATATGGTCATCAATGGGCAGGCTGGGTTGAGGGAAGCAAGAGTGGGATATATGCAGGCATGAATCAACAAAATTCACAAAACACTTAAGTTCAATACATCCCCCTTTGATCAAGGGACTACTAAAAGGACAATCTTTGCTGATTGAATAGCTCAGAGGCCACAAAACCAATACAATACCAAAAGTTGAAAAAAGTTTCTCAGATAAAACATTTATAAAGAATAAGACCTGCTTGGCCCTCCCTGGTGGCGCAGTAGGTTAAAGCACTGCACTGAGAAGCTAAAGCCACTTCCGCATGAGTTCAATTCCCGCCTGCCCCGGAGGTGACCACATGTCGTGGCAGACCTCTCCTGACCCGCCCGCTGCTCCCCTCAGCAGTGTACTTCGTAGATCTGCCTGTTCTGCTCCCCACTCTGTCTCTGGTGAAGCCTCTCACCGCCCCTGAGCCTCTGACCTGTACCCCAGTTCTGTATGTACAAATAAATCTTAAAAAAAGACCTGCTCAATTTAAATGATATAAGTAGAGTGAATCACCATAATTTAAGAAAAATATTTAAGCCCATCAGTTTTATTTTGAGGACACGCACACAACAAATGGAGACGTCCCC